GCCCACTGGTTCTGTCAAGGAGTTGAAAGACATCAAAAAGGAGGAAGAAGTCTGTCTCAACTTGTGTGGAGAATTAGATGGCGTTAAAAAGATAAAGAAAGAAGAGCTGACATCTTTAGACATCTTCAGCCTGGAATCACCATATGTTAATGAAATTAAATCAGGCAGTGCTGATTTAGAGAAGAGCCACGCTAGCTTACAGGATGAGATGAAAGTACAAGAAATGGTGGTTGAGCCAAAAAAGATAAAAATTGAAAATATATGGCCTGATGAAAATGATTCACCAAGCTGCAGTGACAACCCTCTTGTCATCAATTTGGATACGCCTGCCATAGATGCAGTGAACTGTATAAAGGAGCCCACTGAGTCTTATCATTCGCCACCTTTGAAGGAGGACATGGAGATGTCACCTCTCCAACCGCCAGATCTGCCAATAAAACAAGAACTTGGTATTTCCTCCGATGAAGATATCAGTGTTGATTACTTGATTGATAATTTGGACTTCATTAAGAAGGAAATGAGTGAGAGCTCTGTGGCCGACTTAACAGAAGCTGTCGACCCCAAGTCTGCCGTTCCAGAGACTCCAGCAGGGAACAAGCAAACTACGGAAATGGTTACGGCTGGTGCAAAGTCTAAATCGCAGGGAAAACGAGTTACTTGGAATCTGCAAGAACCAGCAGAACCCCAGTCTGAGAAATTAAACCGTGAGTAAACATTTGACTTTTCCCATTTAGTTTTGCTCCCTAGCCACACCAAGTCTGAATTTAAGATTCAAGTTTCAGTAGGTGCAGAGTTCGTTACAGACCAGGGGTGTCCAATCCAGTGTCCCACAGAGTTCAGCTCCCACACACTTGCCTGAAAGTTTCTTGAGAATCTGAGGACCTTGATTAGCTGGTCCAGGTGTGTTTTATTAGGGTTGCAGGATAGTGGTCCTCCAGGAACAGGTTTGGTCACCCCTGGTTAAGCTCCAACTTGCCCCAACACTTGTCTGGGAAGTTTAGCCTCCTGACA